AAGCAAAGTCAATGGGGAAGCCAGATTCACTTAGCAACCAAGTTATTAATTTATCAACTGTAGTTGATTTGATCAACCACTGTGGCAAGAAAGGTGGTAAAATGGGGCAAAACTCACTTAACAAAGGTCTCACTTAGCAACAGAAATGTTGGGCTCAGTTGTGGTTGTTAAGTGGAGGACTATTTGTTAATGGGAGCCACCATCTGGTTCCACAGTTTAGTTCCTCTTATTTTTTAGGACGTTTATGCAATGTACTAGAAGCATATGCTTTCAGAACCACCGTGGGCTATGCAACTTCAGAAATCAAGAAAGGAAAATCAGAAATCAAGCTAGGAGGCCAGTTTCTAAATCAATCAGAAGGGAAGGGACCTTGGAGATCTTCTAGTCCAACCTCCTGCTGAAGTAGGAGACCCTATAGCATTTCAGACAAGTGAGTGTCCAGTCTCTTCTTAAAGCCTTCCAGTGACGAAGCACCTACAACTTCCAATGGCAAGCCATTCCACTGGTTAATTGTCCTCCCTGTTAGGAAGTTTCTCCTGAGTTCCAGATGGTTTTTCACCTCTCCAGCAGAAGAACATCAGGGGCATTTTTGCCCAGCCTCATACAGCCATCCTTCAGAACTGCAGCACAATTCCAGAGGAAGATTGAACCAAAGAATTTGAACCAAAGAATCCCAGACAGGAGCTGGAAATTGAGATGATTGTATAACTACAGTCTGAGAAGTGAAAATATTTAGCAGAAAATTAAATGATCATGCCTTATTGAACGTGCACAGCTTTTTTCTTTACTAGAGGATCTTTTATGAGATTGATAATCTGACGAAATTTCAACATCAAGTGGCTGACCTCTGTGCATCTTGTACATAGGAATCTTACTGTGATCTTAGTTGTGTAGATTATTCCCTTGTAATGTTATTCAGAGGTTTGTATAATTAGCCTTCTGGCTGGATTTATTTATATTTGGAGAGAAGTTTTGCATTGTTAGTTCCTCAGAACTTTCAGGAATACACAAATAAGCTAAGTACATAACATGCTTGTATTTACCTCCCCGTTCCAATGGTTTAGAAAACTATTTCACATTTGCTGCCTTTAATAAGTGCACCACACTGGAAAAGCAAACACAGATGACTGTGCAAATGTAGCTCTGAGAAAGTGAAAAGCTATTTAACAGAAAATTAAGTGGTCATGCCTTGCTGAACACATACAACCTTCTTTACTGGAGGAGTAAGTAGCAAGGTTTTTTTCCCCCAGAATGGGTAATCTTTCTGAGAAAAATTCAATATCAAGTAGTTAAATTGGGGAAGAGTTCCACTTTCTGATAATAAACACATTAGTGGGAATTATGTCAGACTGATATCAAGATAGCATTCATACCAGCATATCAGAGGGAAGTTAAATGTTTATAAGTTTTTCTCTTAGTTACAACTTCTTGTTCAATTCCGTGTCTGGTGCAATGCATACAATATATCCCCAAATAATAATCTTAAGCAAGTCTAAGTGAGCTAATAAAGAGGCATCAATAATTTACACTATTATATATTCTTTATATGGCATGAATAAACAATACAGTAATATTTTCCCTCTTTGATTAATAACATATTTTACTCATCTTTATAATAAACTCTGTATAGAAACTAATTTTTGCAGTTAAATACCAGGACATTGCTATGCTTAAAATGTGCAGGCATCTTATACTTGTTTGTCTGAGGTATAATAACTAAGAAACACCCCAGGGTCATATGAAAATAATGTGAAGAATTATAGATTGATGACAGACCATATGCTGAACGCAGAAGATCCCAGAATCAACCACTACTATTTTCAATTTAAAAAAATAAGCATCAGGAAGTAGACATAGGAAAAGATTTTTCTGGAAAATTCTTGCCGATCAACCCTCAATAGCTCTGACAGCCCATCACTGAGGAGTTATATGACTTTTAAGTCCACAATGTTCCTCAACTACGAATTGTTCAGCCACATTTTCTTCAACAAATCATAACCGGATGGGTGCACATAAAATACACAGATGTAGCTTATAGCCGCAATAACTGATTCATGTACGCTAAGCAAAGCTTATTAAGACCCAGCATTGCTGAGAAAGCAGACATATAAAAGGTTAAAAAAAATATGGAAGTCTTCTAAATAAGTTTTCATTAACATATGAAAGGTATCCAATGGAAGGGAATATTTGTAACTCAGTTGAAATCCGGGATGTTTGGTGCTTTCTGAATGTGGTTGTCTTTTTGCAGATGTTTCATTACCCAACTAAGTAATATCTTCAGCGCTGACACACAATCTAGTTATCAGGGGTTCTCAACCTTGGCAACTTTAAGACTTGTGGACTTCAACTCCCAGAATTCCTCAGCCAGCAAAGTATAGCTGGCTGAGGAATTCTGGGAGTTGAAGTCCACAAGTCTTAAAGTTGCCAAGGTTGAGAACCCCTGAGTTAGGTAATGAAACATCTGCAAGAAAACAACTCAGAGAGTATCAAAGACTCCATGTATTAAAGGATTCCTCTCCTCTCCTCTCTTCTCCTCTCTCCACACTCTCTCCTCTCCTCTCTTCTCCTCCCTCCACACTCTCTCCTCCTCTCCTCTCCTCTCCTGATGATGTGTTTGACCCAGTTTGGGGATTCAACCAGTTCGCACCATTTCAGCAGAACCGGTAGCTAATTTTTTGTTGCCCAGGCCCAGAATGGACTTCCGGAAGCAGCATCCACACAGAGAACCAGTTGTTCACATATTTGAATCCCACTACTGGTTTGACCCCCTCCTTCGGGCTCAGCCTGGTCATCTTCTATAGGACCTGGCTGACCTCAAGGACTTTGATCCTGACCTTGGTCCTCACATATTTAATCATTTACAGCAACGCTTCAAAGTATACATTATTTTTTTAAGATGGCAGTGTCCTACTGGCGATATGATTTTTCACTCAAGATAATCTACCACAGTTCTGCTCTCTCCATGGATGCCCACAATTCCCAAAAATATCCCACTGGAAGATGGAGTGTGTTTCCTTTATTTAAAGGAAAAATTATATTTGAAGAATTATATTTAATTAATAAAACAAGCAAATATAAATAAATTTGTTCTTATAGAAAGGGAAAAAAGTTTTCTGTCAGTGAAGTGAAAGTTAAAACCTTGTGGTCTTCAAAATTCGTCATACTGGCACACCCAACCTTAAACTTCCAAAATTGTTAACAGTAGCTGTAACAGCCAAGAAATTCTGGAAATTGAAGTTCACACACATCTGGAGGAAGTCTGTATCAGAGAAGAACACACTGTATAGAATTCAGTTTCGGAATATTGTAATTGTCTAATAATATAGAAACGCCCCTTTAATACTTTAAAATAGAGCGCAAACTCCTGTTATTTAAATACTGTTGATACAGCTAAACCAGAAAGAATGTTTAATGGAGATTCATAGGAGAACATAAAAGTAAGTTAGTTCTTTTTCTAAAATAAAAAAAAAACAATAGTACATTAAAAAGCAAGAGCAAAGAGCAGCAAAAATAAAATGCCAATCAACCTAAATTCACAGCATGAGAACTAAGCAACATTTCAGCCCGTGGAAAAATAACAGAATACTTTTCATTAGCTCTAAAGGGAAAGCCGCAGGTGGCTGCAGATAGTCTCTCTCCAGTTGCCACTTTGGTTCAATTCAATGTATTTATTTTGCTATAAGATCACATTATGTCAAAAGCAGAATTCTGTTGTGAAAAGAAGAAAAAGGACACGGAAACAGACACAACACACACACACACAGCATTCACTGCTTCTGGAACCAGTGGAACAACCTGCCCCCAGAAGTGATGAATGCTCCAATACTGGAAGTTTTTAAGAAGAGACTGGACAGCCATTTGTCCGAAATGGTATAGGGTTTCCTGCCTGAACAGGGGGTTGGACTAGATGACCTCCAAGGTCCCTTCAAACTATTATTATTATTATTATTATTATTATTATTATTATTATTATTATTATTACTATTATTATATTGAAAGATAGACAGACAGGCAGGCAGGCAGGTAGGTAGATGGACGGATGGACGGGACGGGATAGAAAAAAATAGAATAGAATAGAATAGAATAGAATAGAATAGAATAGAATAGAATAGAATAGAATAGAATGTAGGATAGGATAGAATAGAATAGAATGTAGGATAGGATAGGATAGGATAGGATAGGATAGGATAGGATAGGATAGGATAGGACAGGACAGAACAGAATAGAATATCATCTGTCTATCTACAGTATAGATAGATGATGGATAAATGATGGATGGATGAATATACAGACAGACAGAACAGACAAAGACAGATAGAACAGACAGACAGACATGGAAGGGCATTGATACTTTAGATGAGTTTATTGCTAAACATCTTTTTAAACTCTTTGATTTACTGCAAGGGGAATTTTGGCTTGAAAATGGTGATATATTAAAATAAAACATCACTTGATATTTGTTTTTTGTTGCATCTGGCTCCAAATGTACAATATCGACTTAATTTACAGTATTAGAGCATAGTTCAGTTGGTTCTAATCTTAGTATTTTTAATAAACATTTAAAAATGATCACTAAGACAGCTATACGTGCAAGAATTCTAGAATAAAGAGTGGTGATATTCATAGCTATAAATCAATAGACAATTAATGATAGGCATGTTTTTATGACCTTATATTAAGAATAAGATTTGTGGTCAAGGTAAATGATACATTTTAAACTTGAATAATCGATAATAATAATCTATGTCACATAATATATATTTGTAATCTTTTTCCCCCTTTCTGCATTTGTCTTTCCGTTGTTGTTTTTCCCTCCATCCCTTTCCCCCCCCCATTTCTCATTTGTGTACGTATACACAAATACACACATATCTAGACAATTCTTCGTGTTTACACCCAAATATCAGTCACAATAACTGGATGGCAGCAAAAACTTTCAGTTTTCAATACCTCTTTTTGCATGTCCTAAGTGCAGCTCTTTTTTCTTTTTTTTTTTTTAGGTCTTGTCCTAATATTGTGGCAGTCTGATAAAAGGTCTTGGTGACACTGTGACTCCGGAATTGCCAAATGTTTAGAAAAAAGGAGGCAGAAAATGAAAAGCAAGAAAAGAAATCTAGACCCCTTGAGGAAAGAGGGAAGGCTATCTCAGCACTTCTAAGGAACGAAACACTATTCTGCAATCTTATTGCAAACAAGGATTTTCTGATGCCCATTGGTGAGTTTGTAATTTGCCTATATATTATTTTTTCCTGCAGCTCAGTCTAGATTCCCTTGCTAAGGACTGGCCAGTTGAGTTTCATCTATAAATACAAGTTCCTAAGGTATCCCTGAGTGACCCCAAGCGAAGAGAAATGCTGAGTTTTCTCAGAAGCACTTGCCTAGATAGAGGAGGAGATGGAACAAGGTAGACCCAATAGCGGGAAGGAAATGCAAAATAAAATAGGATTGGTCCTATAGCAGCTTCATCCATATGTTAAACTGTACTGACCTCCTCTCTTGATCACAACACAACCTCCTGATAAGGTAGGTAGCATCTTACCTCCAGAGTACTGTGTTTTTCTTCTGTCTCTTCCATGCTTTCAAATGATCCCCTCGGATTTTAAATTATATCAGCAGAATGTCAAGGTGGCAGCTCCTGTTTGATTAATTAGGCCTTTTTAATTATTATTTTTTTTAAAAGAAACATACCCCTCAAAGACTTTCCCACCATAAAATTGATGCTGTAGACCTGGAAAACCGGAATGAGATTCACATAGAAAGGAAAGCTAGCATTCCAGAGAATTCTGGTTTACAGAATTGGAATAAGCCTCTATAAAGAAACACAAGGGCGTGCTGACTCCAGCTTGTTTCCTTTCACTTTTAATAAATTAATGTGAGTTATCTTTTCAATCAAATTAGGTATCTGTCTTGTTGCTCCTAAAAAAATGTAAACCAAAAAAAAAAAATAAAGTCTGATTGTTGGCTCATGCCTATAAGGATGCAGCATCCTTAATACTTGCATGGGAAAACCCAAGCAGGAACTACCACTAAAAGGAACAGCCAAGAACGTCCATTAATGGGAGAGGCCAAATGGGAACCAGTGAGTGAAATACATTAGCTGATTCCTATAAAGTCAGAATTGCTTTTGCCTTACAATTCTTTATCACCATGACCCACATTAAATCATTATTACGGCATAAAATTCGACACCATTTTTCATTTCAAGGGGGGGCGGGGAAAGATGTTCTTGTCTTGGTTTTTAACAGCATTTTTTTTCTCTTAAGAATTGAGACTAGAAGAATCCATACTGGGGCCGGATTGGGAAGTACAGTAAGATCAAAGTTAAAATTTTCCTACTCTCCAAAATGAAGGTGCCAGTCTGGGCAGAGGTGGGATTCAGCCAGTTCGCACCAGTTCGGCAGAATCGGTAGCTAATTTTTTGTTGCCCAGACCCAGAATGGACTTCCGGAAGCGGCATTCACACAGAGAACCAGTGGTTCACATATTTGAATCCCAACACTGAGTCTGGGGCTCCATCTTTCATTAGCTATTTATAGAAATGTACGGCTGGAAAGGACCTTGGAGGTCTTCTCCAAGGTGATGCCCAAGGTAGGAGATCTTATACCATGTAGATCTTATATCATGTAGCTCTTATACCATTTACAAATATCTTAGAACTGTCTATATTAAAACTGGAACTCAGTATTACAACCAACCAGGTTAATAAGTCTTTTTTATTTTTATGAAAAGCATCTGAATTCTGGATCTAATTCTGCAGCAAAGAGAATTAATTTGACAGCTCACCATGTAAAGTTTGTCATTTTATTCTGGAGCAATCCCAAAAAAGGATGCAGTTTCAAATTAGTAGTAGTAGTAGTAGTAGTAGTAGTAGTAGTAGTAGTAGTAGTAGTAGTAGTAGTAGTAATAATAATAATAATAATAATAATAATAATAATAATAATAATAATAATAAATGAAACTAGCCTGCTTCCTAACTCTCCATAAACTCCTAGCAACTCATAGCCATCTGCCCCGAAAAAGAAAAAAAAACCCGGACAATGAAATCAATAAAAAATAAAACAAAACCTATCAGCCAGCAGCAACTTCAAAAAATCTTGCCTTTCAGTTCCATTTTATGGAAACTTCTACCAATCTCAGCATCTGGAGAAACTGTTTCCAGAACAACTGGAGAGCCAGAAACCAGGAAAAAAAAAAGCTGATGGGAACATTTGATACTTAAAGTTAAATCAATCGTTCGACTGAGAACAGCTTTAATACTGCAATAAAGCTGCTCTATTTCATATCGGCTCATATTGCAGCTATAAGTTCCACCTTTTATACCTGGTTGTCTCCCTTTAGTGACTTACAACATTCAAGTTATTTCCTTTCTGAACTCTCATACCTTTGGCCAATATAGCTGTACCTTCTATAACAAAATGGCAATTTTAAGACTTGTGGAGGTCAACTCCCAAGCTGTCTGAGGAATTTTAGGAGTTGAAGTCCACAAGTCTTAAAGTTGCCAAGGTTGGAGACCTCTGTACTTATTATAAGGTCATTAAATCATAGGGCTAGAAGGGACTTTGGAGGTCTTCTAGCCCAACCCACTGCCCAGTGCAGAAGTCCTTATTGTAGATTCAGGAGCCTTACGAAGCAGCTGTCTACAATGGTGCTATTGATCCCACAGGTTGTTTTGCACTGGGCAAAACAATGAGTAGTTATTAGCTTACACCTGCACCTTAAATGCCTTTTGGAAAATATACCTTCAAGTTTTTCTTCCTCCCCTGCTGAGAAGGGAAGAACAGCCAAGTAATAAAAGTAACCACAGATCTTGGGATTTCTTCTGCTTCTCAAAGTCAAAAGAACCAAAAAAAAAAAAAAAAAACCCTATAAAAAAATAACCCTCAACCTAAAATTTTCAGCATCAAGGAATGGTTCCAAGATGTACCTGAAGGCCACACAAAGTCCATTTTGCACAGAAAAGATGACCATGTTTTTTTTTTAATTTTATTTTAGACATGATTAAAAAGCAACGGGGTGGGATGGGGTGTAATCTTTTCAAGTTCCTAAGAACCAAATGAATCCCCACATCTCCTCGCCTGTTATTTTTTGTACAAGTCTGTATAAATCCAGGTGATTTGGGGTTTTTTTTTGTTTGTTTTGTTTTTTTGCAGAGACTATGCTTTTAGCTGCGATGGCTTATCTGCCCCTCAAAAAAATTATAAAAAGTGAAGAGCAGACCTTCCAGATCATGATTTGAAGAAAAGAAGGATCACCTTTTTCTACAGAGTTGTTTCCCAAGACAGTAAACCCGATCCCTGCTTTCTGCAACAGGTACAAACACCTTGTCTTCATCATTGTATTCCCGCCTACGGGAAGCCTTGCACACAATCATCACCAGCGCTTTCATGCTCTTTCTCTCTCTCCCCCAAACATCTCTATGAGCCACCTGCACACTTTTAAAAAAAAAAGGGGGGGGGAGAAAGAGGGGAAACACGCTTACCTGAATTTTCTTAGTTGCATGAATCTACACGTCAATTATTTTCCACGCCTGCCCGGATACATGCAACCTCACTGTGTTTTATTTTTTTTTTCCTTATGTTTATCACAGTTGCCTTGTTTACAGCATCAGGTTTTGCACAGGGAATTATCAGTTGGAGAGAAAGTCACAGCTGAGGGATTCATACACAACACCACACACGCAGCAATCCAAAGACTCTATTCAGTTCTGGTCATCTGCATCCCAGTTTGCCACAGCAACAGATAGGTTCCTACAGCAGCATCTGGTCATCCATGCGAAGATGCAGGAAAGCCAAGGTGGAAAACTTTTCAGAAATTAGCTGGTAGCGAAGAAGCAGCAACGAATCAAATTATGTTCTCTGAGATTAAAATCAGCCATAAGCAAAAGGAAAGAGCAGCTTTCTCTCTGTCTCCAGGAAGGAACTTTCTGCCAAACTGAATGAAGCTAAATCGGCTTTCTGGCTACGCAAGGTGGCTCCACTCTGAATTAGAGCAAAATCCAGAGTTTCCGCAACAAGTCAAGATTGTTTCCCCACCCCTGAATGGGATTTATGGATTATGCAACCTTTGGTAATACAATTCTCCTTCCCTCTTAGTCCATTATTGCTGAAAATACTGTGGTTATTATTAAGAGCTCTCCTCTCCCAGACAAGGAAGTTTACTCTAAGTCATGCACAAATACTGTGTATTGTTTGACCTGCTAAAGGTTTATATGTGATAATTTTAAAAAGAAAAAGAAATCAAATTCATTTTCTCTTTACAACGAGGCTTATGTTCTTTATAATATTTGTGTGTGTGTGTGTGTGTGTGTGTGTGTGTGTGTGTGTGTGAGTTCTCCAATTTGGTTATAAAAATGGGGGGGGCACATTTTAACTCCAATACCATGTATCCTATAACGATTTTGTACACCTGCTCCTCAGCTCAAGTCCATTTGCTTAGCAATGGTTCAAAGATAGGACAGCACTAAACATAGAACATTTATGACTGGTCCTCACGCTTATGACTGTAGCAAGGGTCACATGATTATGGTCCAGGCGCTTGGCAACTGGCTCAAATTTATGTTAGTTGCAGCATCCTGAGATCGTATGATCTCTTTTGTGACCTTCTCATAATAATAATAATAATAATAATAATAATAATAATAATAATAATAATAATAATAGTTGGAAGGGACCTTGGAGGTCATGTAGTCCAACCCCCTGCTCAGGCAGGAAACCATATACCATTTCAGACAAATGGCTGTCCAGTCTCTTCTTAAAAACTTCCAGTGTTGGAGCATTCTGGAGGCAGGTTGTTCCATTGGTTAATTGTTCTAACTGTCAGGAAGTTTCTCCTTAGTTCTAAGTTGCTTCTCTCCTTGATCAGTTTCCATCTGTTGCTTCTTGTCCTGCCTTCAGGCTCTTTGGAGAATAGCTTGACACCCTCTTCTTTGTGGCAATCCCTGAGATATTGGAATACTGCTATCATGTCACACCATGTCCTTCTCTTCATTAGACCAAACATACCCAATTCCAGCAACTGTTCCTTATATGTTTTAGCCTCCAGTCCCCTGATTATCTTGGTTGCTCTTCTCTGTACTCTTTCTAGAATCTCAACATCTTTTTTACATCGTGGTGACCAAAACTGGATGCCGTATTCCAAGTGTGGCCTTATCAAGGCATTGTAAAGTGGTATTAACACTTCACCTGATCTTGAGTCTATCCCTCTGTTAATGCAGCCTAGACTGTGTTGGCTTTTTTGGCAGCTGAAGCTGGCTCATATTTAAGTGATTGTCCACTAGAACTCCGAGGTCCCTCTCACAGTTACTACTATTAAGCAAGGTACCCCTTATACTATACCTGTGCATTTGCTTTTTCTTGCCTAAATATAGAACCTTACTTTTTTCACCACTGAATTTCACTTTATTAGATAGCACCCAATGTTCAAGTCTGTCAAGATCCTTCTGTATCTTAAGCCTGTTTTTGGAGTGTTGGCTATAACTCTGGCAAAAGATAATAAAATCAGTCACAGTCATGTGATGCCTCACTTAATGACTGCAGCACTTAACAGAGCATTTTCTGATGCAATCGTGGTCATAAGGGATCTTTGGTGCTCTCTGAGCTAGGTCGTTTTCCTGCAGCTGTTTCATTACCCAAACTAGGTAACATCATCAGTGCTACAACAAGCAAGTTCAGAGAGCACCAAGGACCTCTCAGGTCAACCCTCAGCTACAGATATTCTCCTTTATTAATGCTTATAATCTGATCAACTACTGTTATCATTCTTCGGTTGATATACTTTGATTGATAGTTTAGAGAAAAGAAGGACTAGGGGTGAACATGACAGCAGTATTCCAGTATTTGAGGGCCTGCCACAAAGAAGAGGGGGGGGGGTCAACTTCTTCTCCAAAGTACAAGAAGGCAAGATGAGAAACAATGGATGGAAACTAATCAAGGAGAGAAGTAATCTGGAATTAAGGAGAAACTTCCTAACAGTTAGGACAATTAACCAGTGGAACAACTTGCCTTCAGAAGTTGTAGGTGCTCCATCACTGGAGGCTTTTAAGAGACTGGACAGCCACTTATTTGGAACGATATAGGGTCTCCTGCTTGAGCAGACTAGAGGACCTCCAAGGTTCCTTCCAGTTCTGTTCTGATTGATTGATTGATTGAGTTCTGAATGTTTCTGGTTGGCCACTGTGGTGACACAGAATTCTGGACTTGGCTTCCTTGAGCTCTTACATTCTTATATACTAAGGCTATCTTATTTCTCTTTTGTCCCCAAAGGCAAAAAAAAAAAAAAAAAACTATGTCTGTTTGTGTTTTTCCCCTGACATTTGGGTCTTAGGTGAACTTTTGTGCCATTATTTAACTTAAATTAAACATTATTTAACCTGATAGGCAATATTTGCAATGCGATATCAGATGAACTGAAAATGGACATGCAAATATTTGTAGCAGGCTATGGACAAAAGCCAAGACTCCTGTCTCAAGGACAAATTTTAGAACATTCCAGAACAGGTTGAGTGCATGACAAAGAAGAGCTCTTGACAGATAACTATGGAAAGTATCCAAAGCCATTCATTTTGTTCAAGTCAAACCTAGGCGTTCACAGTTTTTCTTAGACTTTGGGTAAATATTTTCTAGAAACAAGGCTTTAAATAAGCTTAAACATTTAGACTTATTCGACTGGCACAGGGAACTGAGAGATGCATTGGCTATTTTCTTCAAAGCAGTTGATAACCCTACCCATTGTAATTTTCCCTACATTAAAGAAAGCCAAGAACTGCTTCCTTTGAATGGAATTAATATCACCTCAGAAAGAAATACAGGCTTTATTTTTATTTTTCCAAAGGCCTCTGGGACCCAGGTGCAGGAAGACACTCTTAAAAGGTGGAGAACTTAAGGCCACCCCTTTTGAAGCATTTGCAGTACAGGTAGTCCTCAACATAGGGTCACAATTGAGCCCAACATTTATGTTGTTAAGTGAGACATTTGTTAAGTGAGGTTTGCCCTATTTTACAACTTTTGTTGCCACAGTTATTAAGTGAGTCACTACACTTGTTAAGTTAGCAACACAGTTGTTAAATGAATAGGGCTTGTCCATTGACTTTGCTTGTCAAAAGGTTGCCAAAGGTGATCACATGACCCCAGGACACTGCAACCGACAGAAATACAGGTGTCAAGCATCCACATTTTGATCATGTTAATAACATGGGGATCCTTCAATGGTCGTAAAGCGGGAAAAATGGTCCTAAGTCACTTTTTTCAATGCCGTTGTAACTTTGAAACAGTCACTGTTGTAAGTCGAGGACTACATGTACTCTCTCCTCTCCCCCCAAAAAGCTCCAATGTCCTCAGGGCTTCTTGACGGTGGGGAGAGAAGATTGTAGCAAGCAAACTGAGAAAAAGCAGAATATTGTGGAAATAAGTCAACCTAGTAGCAATAGGAAACGGTGGCCACCTCTACACAGCCACCAATTTCACTCTTCAAAGTCTCAGATGCAGGCTGACGGCAATCCATGGTGTTGTTCAGTCTAACAACTTAAAATGCTGACAAGAAGGTAATCATTTAGCCTGAAATCAGCTCAGCATCCCAACGGTGAAAGTTTATCAATTCACTAGCCAGAATTAGTCAAGAGGTGGACTGGAGGTTATTATGTTTTTACAGGATTGAACAGGAAGAACCACCAAGTGAAAACACAGAAAAAAAGAACAACTCACCCCTCCTGTTCTTCATGTAGAATAAGGAAAACTAATGCCATTTATCTTCACAGAGCGCATTAAACTGATCAATTCCCACATTAAACTGTTTAGCCAAAAGCTGTTAAGAAGAAACTGAATTGACCTGCCACATGAATCATGTGTTGAACCAAGTGGCGCCCAAGAGCATGTGATAAGAAAGTGTAATTAAACCAGCCAACACTGAAAATAAGTAGACAAGCACTAAATACATCATATCTGTACTTAGTTCAGTCATAAAAGCAGCAATTTATAATGCTGTGCTGGAAAATTCTAATTAAGTGTCCTAGATATTAGCCTGGTACGTTTAATGCAGCAGTCATCTCTAAATAAGTAATGAGATTGAGAAACATGCTCCAAACTCAAATCATTTCTTTATCCCTTGCCTGTATGCATTCCATGCTCCATACCAAACTATAGTGCAACATTACCTAAACTGAGTTTAGCCATAATAGCTCTTAGACAATTTCAAACTTTGGTGTCCACTTCTGAATTATAAACTTAATTATTGCTACCGCTGGAGTATTTTCCTTGTCACGCTTAATTTGGGGACAGAACACACATGTACAGCTCACTCTTACTCCATCACTTTCAGACACTTCCCTTTCATAAAGTTTACACATCTTACTGAACTCTATTTGAGCACACCTTGCTTCTTTAAAAGCTAGGAAGCTTAAAAATGCATCCTTAATTTCTTCTCTGAATCTTTTTTTTTAAAAGTAGTCTAAGTGGCATTTTATTTGGAAACATCAAAAAGCAAATGACATTGGTGCTGAATTTTAGAAATATGTAAATACTAGGATCTATAGTGAAAAGTCTTTGCAAAAGAACTAGTAAAAAAGAGGATTGAATGGTCAAGAGTTCCTGGTTCAAAGCTAGGAGACAGGACTGGATGGGAGGCCATTCGGGAAGAGCAAAGGTTAGCTAGTCTAAATTTAAAAATAAATGAACAAAATATCTCAGCAGTTACAAGAAAGCCACATGGTTAGACTCAACTAGCAGCAGTGCCAGATCCAACCATACACAGGTGCACATGTATTCATCTCCATGTAAAGGTAAAGGCATAGTTTTCCCCTGTCCAGTTGTATCTGACTGCTCGGGGGGCACTGCTCATCTCCATTTCTTAACCAAGGGAGTCAGCGTTGTCTGAAGACATTTCAGTGATCATGTGGCCAGGATGACTCTATGCCGAGGCACATGGAACACTGTTACCTTCCCACCAAAGTGGTACCTATTGATCTACTCGCATTTGCATGCTTTCAAACTGCAAGGTTGGCAGGAGTTGGGCCAAGTAACAGGAGCTCATCCGGTCATGCAGCAAATGGGTCTTGAACCCAGGCTGTCAGCTTTCCAGCTGACAAGCTCAATGTCTTTAACGGCTGAGCCACTGCGCCCCTCCATCTCCATTTACACGTGTCCTTCATATATTCTAGCATACTCACATCTCCCTCTCTCTCTCTCTTCTCTTAGTCCTGTTCTTTCATTAAGCTGTTGAAGAGCAACTCCTCAGTACCAGCCACTGCAGAAATCCATCACTTAATTTCTTCCAACCATCTGTTCAAAGTGACTATTTGGTTGGTGGAGATCCAATAGCATGGTTTCACATCATAACTGGCAGTAGAAGGCCACGATCCATCTCCCGGTTGATCACTGCCCACCAGAAGAAGCGAGCAGGGCGCTTGTAGGTGGAATCTTTGCCAAGCAAGATGTTTTCTCTCCTCCAGCCTCAATCTGTGATCTGATGTAATATCAGATACCCTGCAACAGTTTGCCTATGTCATCAGAGCTATTATTACAAACAGCTACTTATGCCAGGAAGGGGGCAAAAAAAAAAAAAAAATCCAGGTCAGGAATTTTTCCAGTGCTGGAAGGCGTGGTGAGTTGATATTTCTTCTCTCTCGCCATTCACTGAATGGAATCTGCCACCAGATCTCATGTTATGTGTCATGTGGATGCCGCAAATGTACATATGCATAAACTATTATTTTAAATTGCAGCATGCCGGGCCTGAACATTGGTGGTACTGACATAACATTGACGAAAGAATACTCTGTGTTCCTCTCCAGCAAGATCAGTTAGCAGCTTTTGCAAGAATGAGTCGAGATTTAGAAAGGTAATAGACTTTCAACATCTAAAGGAGGGACGGGGAACTATGGCCCTTTTATGACCCGGTGGAGAAAAGGAGAAAAGAAGGAAAGGTTGATATCCTCCCCAAGTTCACATCTATGCTGGCTGACGAATTCTGGGAGTTGAAGTCCACAAGTCATAAAAGGGCCCAGTTTGAAGATCCCTGCCTTATCTCCATCCTTGCCATACTGCATTATACATCTCAAAAGACTATTTATTTACATTTTTCTCTCCTCCAACCAAGATAGCAAATGACAGATTAACCAGATTAGCCGCTAAGATAAATGAATGGAGCATTTGTACTTCCCCATAGTATAACTGAGGGAAGCTGAAAAGTCACAAGTTTTTCATGCCGGTGGGCCCCTATCTTCAAAGTTGCATCAAGAAGAGGGATTTTTTTTCGTTTGTTTTGTTTTCAGAAATGGAGTTCAAGAATTCTAAGTGAACCAGTTGAGCCAGAAAAAGAGGTGTTTATACTTTGTTCTCCCTTTCACTTGGACACCATTCCTGCAAAGAATGCCCCGGGTGTTAGTGCCGTGGGTACAGCACAACGCACATCTCTCCGTAAGCAAAAGGAGAATGTGGATCAGACTCAGTGGACCGTGCTGGGATGTACAGAAAACTAAGAGCACATTGCAGGTAAGTCCTCCACATACGGCCACAACTGAATCCAACCTTTTTGCTACCAAGCGAGACATCAAGAGAATTCTTCCCCATTTTACGACCTGTCTTGCCACAGCGGTTAAGCGAATCATTAGCGCCGTTAAGTTAGTTACATGGTTGTTTAAGTGACTCTGGCTTCCCCATTGACTTGTTTGCGAGAAGGTTGCAAAAGGGGATCATGTGACCGTGGGACACTGAAACCATCGTAAATATGAACCAATTGTCAAGCATCCGAATGTAAATCACGTGACCCTGGGGATGCTGCAACGGTCATAAGTGTGAAAAACGATCATAGGTCACCTTTTTTTCAATGCTGTTGTAACTTTAAATGGTCACTGAATGAATTATAAGTCGAAGGCTCCCTGTACTGAAGACCCATCTGCAATACAGTTTTGGGACCACAGATCCTGGTTCGCTGAAAGGCTTGTGTGAAGTGTCAATCTGAAAAACGACTCATGCCCAGTCTGAAGGTTAGACTCCTGAAGTATCGTACAGGATAAACGTGTTAGAAAGGAATCACAAATAATGTCATTTCCCAGAAAGTTTCAAACGGAGTAAAGCTGGGTGCGCTGTTCTCTTCCTGCCTTGTTTTTTTTAGAACAGTAAACCTATTTCAAAACTTGGAAAGTGGGTTCTCCAGGTCAACCCATTTTCAAAAGATGGTTTGCGTAATCACACGGTGACAAGAGAGACCCGTGGTGCAATAACGGTGACAACAGCAACAACGTTATAATTTTTTTAAAAAACATTAAATTCAAGGATTCAAATTCAGGTAACGTAGGGAGAAATATTGTTCCGTTTCTATAACTGTTCTCTGCTTACCAGTTATGCAAGACAGCAATGGAGAGGTGCTAGGGCTCCCCAGTTTTCTTTCCAATTGGGCCAGTGAGATGCTCTGGAGGGTAGCATTTGTTTCCCTATATCTCAGGGCTGCCATCTGTAAAACAGAAGGAATACAAGGCGCTTCAGAACGTGGATGGAATTAAACTCTGCACTCACTCAAAGCAGGTTATTCTTTCACAGATTCAGACGGCTACTGCAGTAGTCGTCTAACACTTATAACCACAATTGGGACTGGAACTTCCATCACTAAGCAACAATGTGGTCATTAAATGAGACTTGGCTCAATTTTTACAACTTTTGCAATAGTCCTTAAGCAAATCACACCGTGGTTAAGCAGCTCCAGCTTCCCTACTTCCCTCTTGACTTTGTTTGTCAGAAGCATATTGGGCAATGGAAATTACTGACCCCGGGATGTTGAGAGGGTGCCCTGATGGCCGTAAATGTGAGGACACGTGATAAGTCCCTTTTCTCAGCACTGTCATAACTTCAAACGCTCATTAAAAGAACGGTTGCATGTTGAGGACTACCTGCATGCTAACTAGTGAAGATTTTGGTAATTCTTCTGATGGAATTGTTAGTGCGCTGCTCATCAACATATCCACATGACTCCTTTGAGATATATGGCAAGCTCTGCCCCATCATGTTTAATTTCACTTATTTTCAATTAAAAGGAAGGTGGACCCTGCACTTAGACTTATTCTGATGTGCTCTTTAGGAACAGGGATGCTTTAAAAGACAGAGCAGTAGAGAGAAATTGGGATCCCCTAACAGGCCTTGGATGATTTGAAGTAGATAACAGCTCCTGTCTCCCAACTATCAGATAGATAGATAGATAGATAGATAGATAGATAGATAGATAGATAGATAGATAGATAGATAGATAGATAGATAGATAGATAGATAGATAGATATAAATGATTATGTGTTGCATAGCTTATTTTGGTTCTCTTACACAGCTCTGCGCATTTTGACAGGCAGTATTTAAAAAAATGACTGAATGAAGACAACAAACCCTAGCAAATATGAATTAGGCTTCCCTTATTTACATAGCTGAAATTTAAAACCACAAGCTCTATGCAGTTAGGTCCCAGGTTTGCTTTCTTAACAAAGGCTGAGTGTTTCAGTTCAATGATTGATTTAAAAATTTCTTAGGCTCGTCATGGGTACAGAGTCGTTTGTTCTTGCAGGTTAAATATTTGCATTTTGCATCCGGCTGGAGTTCACCAATATACTGATCACTCGGAAGTTGCATACATCTCATCCAATGAATTCCATACTATAGCTAAGGGACAAGCCCTAAACCTCTGTAGGATAAAACACAAAGCTATTTATCTCCAGCCGTTATCTTTCAAGCCCTGCTTTGCATTTTTGCATCTTTTCATGCTCTGCATAAATATCATCCCTTTCCTTTAGCTTTGCTCTGTGCAATCTTTCTCAGCTAACCTTCCTTTGATCACTATGGGGCTCTCCTTCTCTTTTTCTAATGAGCCAAACCATCTATCATCTGCAAACAGAAAGACAGTTAAGTGGGGATGGGGGAACTCTCTAGGATGCTCATACTTCTGATTTGTCCTTCTCCAGCAGAGGTCACTAATGCATAAAACACAAACAGAATTAAGCCTTGCTATGCTCCCCTTCCTGCTGACAGCTTGCCTAACTGATAAAAAGTGTAACCTTCATAATTGAAGTCGCTTGCTTTTCTGGTGAGCGGTGGGCCACAGGAAGGAAGCCACAGTGTGGGAAGTAAAAAAAACGCCTCAAGGCTTTTGATCTTCTTCCTGCTCGCTGCCGTCTAATTCCCCCAAATTCTGCCGGGTAAATGCACTGGAGAAGACAACCAACGGGTGCAAAGGTTTTCACCACGGAAGTTCTACAGCAGAGGAGACGACTTAGCCAAGAAGGCAGACAAAACAAGAAACTAGTTTCACGCACACCCATTAAGGAAGACATCATTGGAATTGAAACACAGATAGCCCTTGACTTACGACTACAATTTCCATTGCTAAACAAGTCAGTTGTTGAGTTGAGCCCTCCCCCCAAAAAAAATCTTAATTGGCAGTTCTTCATATTGGCTCAGCTGTTCAAGAACATGGCAGAAAACATAATTATGCTACATTGATATCACTCAAGCATCCCTTCCAATGTGACCAGCTGCTTTGAAAAGAAAACATTAAGATGAGATTCCTAATAAAGATTCTTGCTTTGCTCTTTCCTGAGAACAAAACCAGGAAGAAGAAGTGGTAGCAATCCTCTTTTTATATGTGGAAAGAGAGGGTACGATGTTTGAACACATCTTGTAGGAGTAGGTAACATCCTGCTTAGAGACACCTCCCTAAGTTTCATTAGTCCCTCTTGACTCCATTAGATCCTTTTAATTAAAACGGATTACCCTTTATCTTCACCTCCTCCAACTTGGTTAACCACCATAAGTGTAGTCAATAGCTCCAAGGATTATTAGCAATAGCCATTAGTGTCTAGGGCAGCGTTTCTCAACCTCAACAATTCATGTGTGGACTTCAGCTCCCGGAATTCCTCAGCCAGCAGGCTGCCTGCGGAACTCTGGGAGTTGACGTTCACACAACTTAAAGTAGTGAGGTTGAGAAACTCTGGTCTAAGGAATCCTGGGAACAAAAATCTATTTTATCTGGAGAACATACCGACTGAGCATGTGTGTTCCAGCGTCATCTTATCACCCCAAACAGAGACACAAAAACAGACTGAACGGGAAACTATAATTGCAGCTTTATTTAGAGATGTTTTCACCTGGTATGAAAAAATAAAGGGAAAGCTGGTTTGGGAGGGATGTCAGGGAGACACACTCTTATCTACTACTAAATGGGTGTTTACTCACTAACGTTTCCTTCCTTTCTTTACGTAAGCTTTTTTTCTATTTATTATAATGCTTTATCTGAAACTCCAGTTAAGTAGCGGTGCTCAGCCAATTTTTTTTTTTTTTTTTTGCACATTATGCCTGGTTAATTCCTGCGCACGAAATCCTAAGAAAATGATGTTATAAGATTGACTAAGAAGTATAGGTAGTCCTCGACTTAAACAATGTATTTAGTGACCGTTCAAAGTTACAACAGCACTAAAAAGCGACTTATGACCATTTTTCACACTTACAACCGTTGCAGCATCCCCATGGTCACGTGATCAGAATTCAGACGCTTGGCAACTGACTCGTATTTATGACGTTTGCTGTTACGTGATCCCCCTTTCTGACAAGCAAAGTCAAGGGGGGGAAGCCAGATTCATTTAACAACTGTGCGACTAACTTAACAACTGCAGTGGATTCACTTAACAACGGTAGCAAGAAAGGTTGTAAAATGGGGCAAAACTCACTTGACCTTTTTTTTTTATTTAGCAACATGCATTTTGGGCTCAATTGTGGCTGTAAAGTTGAGAGTTACCTGAAAAAGAAAAAAAAATCCTGGAAGAAAGAAGTGGCAAACCAAGTCTGTATTTTTTCCCCCAAAAGCCAGCATGTTTTTTTGGAGTTTGATCCAGAGAAGAGATCTGGAGTTTGAAAAGAAGCTCTGGATTGTAATCTTTTACCTGTATCAACCTATCATCAGCATTTTGCAGAGAACACGGAATTTCCTTAAAGAATTTACTGACCCAATCTTTTGCTAGAGTTCAGTACCGTACTTTCCGGCGTATAAGACGACTTTCGAAAGCGTTGAAATCGGCACCGAAGTCGGGGGTCGTCTTATACGCCGAGTCATCTTATATGCTGGAAATAACGGTAGTTTCCAGCGTATAAGACGACTTTCTAGGTATGCAACTCAGTGCCGAAGTCAGGGGTCGTCTTATATGCCTTATACGCCGGAAAATACGGTATTTTCTTTTCAAACAGCTTTTAGAGCAGAGGTCCCCAACCTTTTGGGCACCAGGGACCGGTTCCATGGAGAGAGGTTTTTCCGTGGACCGGAGGGGGCGTGGTTTTGTGTTCTGCCTGCATCCTGTGGATGGGGCTTTGCTTGTTTGTGCGGACCGGTTGCTGGCATGCCGTGGCCCAGTACCAGTCCACAGTCCGGGGGTTGGGGACCCCTGTTTTAGAGGTTTCTGATTCCATCCACCTTCCAGATTTTTCACATCTCTAGTTTGCTTTATTTCAAAACAGAATCATGCAGCTCTGGGGAAAAATGCAAAAAATAAAAAACCAAGTGGTTAATAATATCGACAGCCAAAGGAACTACTAACAACATAATTGTCCCTCCTCCCTAAAGGAAAATGTTGGGAACATAACCAAGCTGGGAGAGATTAGCTGGGATGATTTCCAAACTAGGAATGTTCATAACATACAGAAAAATCCAGATGGGTGGGAGAGAAAGTGAAAAGAACAGCAGTGAGAGAGAAGAATTCTTTGCAGAAGGAGAACTGCAAAAGTGATTTTCAGCCCTGCACCTATTTCAGATGCACCCAATGCTCAGCCTCAACCTACATAGGCAGCTGGTTTAATGACCGTTCAGAGTTACAACGGCACTGAAAAAAGTGACTTATGACATTTTCGCACTTAAGACCATTGCAGCATCATGGTCACGTGATCAAAATTCAGACGCTTGGCAACCGACTCCTATTTATGATGGTTGCCACGTCCCGGGGTCACGTGATCCCCTTTTGCGACCTTCTGGCAAGCAAAGTCAATGGGAAAAGCTAGATTCACTTAACGACCGTATGACTAACTTAACAACTGCAGTGATGCACTTAACAACTGTGGCAAGAAAAGTCGCAAAATGGGGCAAAACTCACTTAACAAATGTCTCACTTAGTAATAAAAATGTGGAGCTCAATTGCAGCCATACGTCGAGGACTACCTGGCATATTAAAATTCTGAACTACTCATAATGAGCAAAATAAATTAGGAAGACTCATAATGAGCAAACGATTAAAAAAAAGATAATCAATCCTTGTTAGACTCCTTGCCACTGCCCGGACTTGTTCCTGCAGTTTTCTTGGAAAGATTTTGGAGACCGTTTGCCATTGTCTTCTTCCTCAGGCTGAAAGGATGTGGCTGACTCAAGGTCACCAGCTGGCTTTGTGCCTAAGATGGGACTAAAGCTCACAATCTGCTGGTTTTTCGCCCGGTGCCCA